CGGGGAGAAATATATGATTTATGTTTTTGGCCACCTATGCAATTATGGTTTAGTTAAAAAAAATTGAAAACAAAAGTTTTCGTTTAGGAATATAACACCCGACACACATACACATGTACAGTTAGTCCTAACTAATTTAGATTTAAGAAGATTTCATTTTTCAAATGGCAAAGAAAATTGGAGTTGGGTTTGGGAGACCATCTTTGACGAGAACGGGAATGGGGATTTCTGTGAAAATTCTTCTCGGAATGAAAGCAGGGACAAAGATAGTATTGTCATATTCGGCCCCAAACTAGTCCGTTGCCTTCCCTACTCCCAAAAAAAACCAATTTAATTACTCACTGCACCCACAAAAATTAAATCTCTTTTTTCCTTTTTGGAATCAATTGAGATAGGTAAATCAAGGAGACTCTCCGATAAAACCATATATACGACGTGGTAAATTCTGATCTTCACCATCGCAAAAACACCCAAATTTTAGAAACAAAAGTAATTTGTAAAATAATTTACACCCTTTACATATATTCGGAGTTCATAGGGAAAAAACCAAATTGACATGGTATAGGCTAAAATGCGTAATTTGAACTAAAACGTGCGTTTTGCTGGAAACAACGACAGTGCGTTTAGTTAAAATCAATCCGCGCGGGGAGACGGGAACTTGTAACTGTAAAGTCTCTGTCAGCTCCTTCCTTCGTTTTGTTGTTTTAGGGTTAGGCTTAGCGTCTATTTCTATTTGTTGTTCTACAGTGAAATTGGGGGTTTACAATTCTCTTCTGTCCCAAACCCTAGATTGATTACCCAATACTCGCAATTGTTTTTCTTTCTTGAAAATGGATTCAATTGATCCTTCTAAGGGCATGAGCACGCTTGACGCGACCATGGAAGATAGCTGCGGCGCCCGATCTAAAGCACCGTGGAAGAAACTGGGGCCTGTAGAGAAGGAGGCATCTGTGCACGAAGAGATGAAGAGGATGCAGAAGCTGCCTGCAAACAGTACTTATGTCACTCATCGGTTGCGGGTTCTCAACAAAATTCTGCAGCTTTTGTCCATTCAGGTACACAAAAATTGGATTTTTATTTGCTATATAAAGCATGGTTTAGCTATTAACCTTAGATTGCTCGTAATATGCAATGGGTTTGGTGCTTAAGTGAGTTATAATCTATTGGTATTGGAGACCCACAAGATAAAGTTGTTTAATTTTGCAGTTTTGTTTTTGTTAATTACCAGTTTGCTCTGCTGTGATGTAGAGCATGATATTCTGTGTTTTGTGTATGATTCTGATTAGGAATAGAAGAGAAATGAATTTTATACCAGTATTTGACTCTATTTTGCTGTTCCTCTTGCTCCTTTGTATATCAGAGAACTGCATCACAAGAACAGGAGTTGGAGTTGCTTTTTGCTGGGCTTTCTATGTGAACCCAACCAACCTTTTTCAGGCAGCGGTCAGTTCCAGATGAAATTTTATTTTGTGGAGCTAGATATATGTAACTACTATTTTAGTGCTCTGTTTCAACCGGCTGACAAATAGTTTAATTATTTGTTGTGTTTGATCTATGTATATACTGTTAAAGCATGAAACAAAATAGCTCATGGTATAGGAAAAGTTTATTTTATTATCCATTCACTTGGATCCTCATTTTCTTCCCAAAAGAAGGAAGGGGAGTAATCTGCGTACATTGGAAAATGCAAGCGCTGTTTCATGTGAAGACGGATTCAGATGCATAAATTTTTTGTAGGCACAAAACCTTGCTCTGCCATTTTTCTTTCACTAGGATCTTGTGTTGGTTAGAAGACACTGTTCTTGTTATGAAACCTTTATTGTCTTTTTTAATCACCGAGTACTGTCCAGTTTTTTGGTCGAATAGGTGTCCACTATTGCTATACAAATTTCATTTTTTCTCAACCTCATGCAGATCCTGGGTAAGATACTACGTTTGCAGTATTTGTTCTGATTTGTTAATCAACTACATTGCAGAATCTCCCGTCATGGATATCTGTATTTCTGGAAAACTGGGTTCAGATCTGTTCCGTTTCGCACTGAAGATTGTATGTTTTTGGCAAGCTAAACATCTTACTCTTGTGTCTCTCAGGAAAAAAAAAAAAAACATCTCTCTTGTGACCATCTTTTGTACATACCTTTGCAAAGTTTCTAAGCTTTAAGTTAACCAACATTGTGAATATTTTTGTTTTTGTTTTTCTTGTATCCTTGCCTGTTGAGTCTTGACATGGTTGAACTGTACGCCATTGTGGTATATGGAGGAGAATGGTATACTATCAATTTGGCGTTTTCATTTCCCATTTTATTGGATGGGTCATTCTTGGTTTGGGTTTTATATGGATGTAATTTTCAGCTATTTGATTAAGAATATTCATCCAATAAGAGATGATAGAGGATCTAAACTTATTTATTTTTTGTTTTGTGATCATATACAGTTATACTCCTCACATCTTAAACCATGTACAACCCCTCGCAAATAACTGGTTAGTGTATTCGCCAGTTTGAGACTTACCATTGTACTTCTCAATCCTCAAATTGCTGTTCTTCTTAATGGCTTAAAGAGGGTTAAAATAGGCTATTTGACCCTAAAATTAGGCTTGAATTGATCATCTTATTCAGGCAAGTGATGTGCGAGGTGGGATTCGAATAAATGACTCGGTTACAATATAACATGAATAACCTTAACATATGACCCAACTATAATGATTCGTGCAATCCTTCATTTAAAAATGAATTTTATAGGACAAGAATATTATAACTTAAATGGTTAAAAGTATTTATCCGTATATCTTAAGTCTATGTTCATTTATCTCTCTCTCAATATCATTTGTGAAAAGAAAAGAAAAATCGTATTTTTATTTATTTATAAATGAAACGTTTCAAAATTAACTCAATATTTCTTTTCCCAATGATGCCGCTAATTAATCCTCCTTCGTAACTCTAACCCTCTATTTGGATGAAGACATTGAAAATTATATAGAATTTTAAAAAGAAGGAATTTAGATTTCTATCATTTTGATTTATGGCAATTGAGTTTTTGGATTTATGTATGTTGAATTTTGTAAATGACATTATGAAAATTGTGAAATAACAGCTATTTCGGTGGAAATTAACCTTGGGAATTTGATACCTTAATTTCGACAATTTTTTCCACACATCATTTAATAAATTCCACACTTAAGTTTCTAAATTTCTCCTCTTAAATTTTTAATTTTTAGTTAAATTTAGAGTTATTGGGTAAATAAAGGGTTTAGGGAAAAAGAAAAAGAAGAGAAAAAGAAAGCTTCGAACTTTCCTCAAAAAAGAGAAAAAGAAAAAAAGCGCGCATTGAACTATGGACCCTCTCACCCCACTATTTTGAAGTTTGAACCAACTTTTTCTTATTACCGGAAAAAAGAAAAAATTTGCACCAAATCTTCACCTGAGCTTTGATCTACTGAGAAAAATGGGGATATGGGATTTCATGTCCGGGACGACCGATTCACTGAAACGCAACGCTCCGGATCTAACGGGCGTCACGAACTGTTGCCCCACACCCGGTTCCCTCAAACGGATCGTACCAGATGTAACGGCTGCGAAGAACGTGTGCTTCACCGCTTACGGTTATGGGTCAGCCACCGTTACCCATATCGATAGCGCCGTCAGGGGTAACCTGAACCACTACCTTCAGGACGAGGAAGCCCGCTCCAAGATCCTCCGGTTGGGCAAGAGCATCGTTACACACGCCACCATCGAGGGCCTCAAAACCATCCCAGGTTTAGCTACTTCCTCGTATCACTTGTTAAATTACTTTTAGTTTAAAAACAAAAAAAAATTGATATTCGTGTTTTTCTGGTATAATTTTCAATATTTTCTTTGAAATTAGGACAAATTAAACTGAAATTTGTTTCCTTTTGGAAAATTAATTGTGCCAATTTAATCGTCTTTAAATTGTAGGTTGTTAGGACTGGAGATCCCACTTTGGAAAAATAGCATATTTTAGGATGATTTAAGAGCCCATCCTTACAAATCAACCTCTACCCATAGAGCCCAAGTTTCACCATGCACCTCACGAAAGGGGCGACGTATTGGCTGGATTAATATCGAGTCATTGAATACTGGTAGATTAGTGAAGCCGCTCAAAGGAAGGAAAAGGCTATCTGGGCCAGTGTCAATAGAGTTGGACGACAAGAGCGTGGTGGAATCACACATTGGAAAAATAGCATATCTTATACCTTAGGATGGTTTATGAGCTCTTGGACACCCTTCTTTACAAGCTGATTTTCCGGGGCAAATTCTGCCCTTGGACTCTTAACAGGTTTATTAGAAAATTGCTTGTATTATTTTGTATGTTTTGTATCTAGTCAAATTGATTGGACCACACGATCAAACATGATTCTATTTGATAAACAATTTTGATTGATAACGTGGTGACTGGTGACATAATATGTGAGTGTCTGTTAAGAGAGTATGAGCATGGCTCATATATAGCTGCTTGTTGAAATCATATACAGTGGTTTACTTAAGAAGGCTCTAGTAAGAAATTTCCAACAGAAAACTTCTCTTCGTCATGTATTTTCCTCAAAACAACTAGACCAAAATATATTCATTGATCCTTGTTTTTAGGTGGATTTGTAGGTTACAATATTGTTAATAAATCAATCAAAGACTTGAAGGACTCCGATAAACAAGAAGTGGATGTGAAGGCATTGCAGGCGGATCTACGCAGATTGAAGAAAGATTTCATTGAATACAGGAAAGTGCATGAGCCAGAAGTGGATGTGAAGGCATTGCAGGCTATTGTAGTCAGATTGGAGAAAGAACTCAGTGAATACAGGAAACCCCGTGAACAAGTCCTGATAGATAAGCCAAGTGCAGATTTGAAGTCACCAAACACTGTCAACATTCATTCAGCTGTGAATCAGAAACCGGAAGATGTGATCAGAGTCTTTATGATGAATGAGTTTATGGGCAGGAAGTTCCTGGATGATCTAATGGTTCCTTCGGTAGCACCTAGGAAGAAGTAGAAGGCAGTGCCACTGCCAGGTACCAGTGCATAAGATAAGGGGGAGCAATGATCATTGTTAATCATGATATGACCTTGTTTAAAGCTTTGTGGTTAGGTCTTGATTGCTGTGTGTAATTATTCTCTCTGGTGTATTAGGGATGAAAGTTGTAAGAAAGTGGTTTTACATTGGCAAGACTCAAATCCATTAGCCGAGACAACCAATTTGCAAGATAATACCCTTTTCTATTGGGCTAGACCCCATTGGCTTTAAGGTTGGTTTTTATAAACTGAAGCTAACTGGTTTTATATGGCTGATTAGCGCTTTTGCGAAAGTATATATTCCTATGGAAATGGAATGTAGATACCCAATGGCAAGCAATACTTTTTAACTTTCATAATCTGCTAATCCGATAAATGTTTGAGAATCCACCTTGACTGAAACTCTTCTGCTAGCCCAAGTAGTGAGAAGTAGCACGTGGGTTTGAATCCATCCATTTAACAAGTTTTACATCACTACAGACAGATTGTACAAACTGTACAATATTGCATTCTAATAAAAAGTTAAGGCATTTTTTAGTACTTTTTTCTTTTTTCGTTTTTAATTTTTAGTTTTTTTTTTTGTAAGAGAGATGAAAATGTATGGAGGAAAGGAAAGGGAGGGATGAAGCCGATGGATGGTGGGGGAAGGGTTATTCTCCTTCTCCCACCACAATTCTCCACTCTATTTTCCTCCATATAATTCCTCTCCATCTTTAAGAAAAATGTGAAAAATTATCAAACGGGAGCATCACCAAGGGTATATGTAAATAAAGTAGGCAAAAGTGTACTATAAAGACTGATGTGGCATGTTGCCTATTCAATTTGGAAAAAACTGGACCAGGCAGATGAACTAGCAATGTAATATTATATTTTTTATTTTCATCTTTTACATTTACCTCATTTCACCCACCACAAAAAGCAAAAGAAAGTTGTATTTTATAATAATAGAAATATGTGGGGTTCAATATACCTCCACTTTGAAGTAGACAATATTGCCTTGTTGGGGAGAGTAGGTATATTTTGCATACCTATTTGTCTCTTACTTGAGCACGAAAATGCTGATGTGGCAAGTCAAATGAGGTTTGCCTACTCTTTTGCATCTTCCCTTTAGAGATGCTCCTATATGACAATTTCCAATAAACTAATAGGAGCAAACGGACCTTGAGTCGGCTGCTGGCCTCATATTTTTAAATCTCTCAACAAACATTTTCTTCTCCGATCAATTTTTGTTAGGAATTTCTTTTCAAATTTGAAAACTGAAACAAAAACACTAAAAAATCATGGCCACTTGACATGGCAGAGTCTTTGAGACAAACTATGTGACTATGTCCGTTCATAGAACATTCCGGGGAGCCAAGGTGTGGTTAAAAAATAGTACTCGTTATGAAATTGACCAATAAATGAAAGAATCTTGAGTAGTTAATGAAAAAAATGTTGCAGAATAAAAATTGCAAGGAGATCGTGTGAGAGTTGGGAGGGACATGGGACATGAGAGCTTAAAAGATGTTGGACCTCTTCACCAATTGTCAATTAACTTTGGCTTGGACGACTGAACATTCTAATATGGTATCAGAGGATGCTATCGTGCTCCGTGAATTTTGCTTACCCTCCTAGTTGAATACAGAGCTGGAAGTGTAAAGAGGTAAGTTGTTCCTATCCCTTTGCTGTGTTCTTATGCTCTACATATGATTGTTAAGTGCATGGAATACTCTAACTTTATTTGTTCTTGCCCTTGTTTTAAGAAAAGGCTTAGTATCACAAAATATTTTAAAATCATTTGAACCTTAGAAAAGAGCTTATCCAGGATCTCACATTCTTTACTTCCCTAATTACCAAGCCCCCAGCAGATACTTTGCTTCAACAACTCCCAGCTTTCCAATTTCAGTTCTCTTATAAAGGGGCAAGCTTTCAAGGGCAATGGCTTAATTGGCAGTGGCTGTCAGTTTGTTCCAAGGTTTTTACCATTCAGTGAAGCCAGGTACGTACACTATCTTTTTTTTTCTTTCTGAAAATGATGTGCTGCTAATTTCTTATATATTCCAAAGGTTTTCTCTATATTAATACCTTTGAACATCCTTATAGATAGTCTTTTTAGCATCCTTATAGTTGGTACAATTATTTGAAAACAGAATCAAGAAGAGAATGCTTTTAAGATCAGTTGATTTCATTAGGTCATGGTTTCATAAGGTGCATTTCTAAAATTTCTTGACAAGAATCTTGTGGAGTTTCACTAGAAGAGAGATTAAAAACCAATACATAAATAGACAACATGTTGCTATTGATTGTATATAATATGGTAGAAATTATTCAACCACAGTTGCTATAGCTGTTGGTGGATATGTGTGGCTAACAGTAATCCAGGGTTAAATAAAATTAACTTGAAAGCACAATAAAACATTACTTAATTTGAAGTTACTAGTCCAATTAAGCTTCAATTATACTATTAGTTTCGGATTTCTTATTACCAGATTAATGATCCTCTTTTCATCCAATTTATGTTGACAAATATGTTTAGGAAGTAGGAACTCGCTGATGGGATTTCTTGCGCCAATTTGTGAAAGAATAATGTTCATATGGGCTCTGATTACTAGATGGTTCAGATATCAGAGAAACCTTGAAGTTAATATGAATACTCTGAAAAGAATGTTAGAAGAGCTAGATAGCCAAACTGAAGATATAGGAAAAAAATTAGAGGCTGAGCCTCCCCTTCCGATTAGAAGACACGAAGATGAAGTCTATGAGTGGTTAGAGAATGTGGAAAGGATCAAAACTAGAATACAAACTATCGAACAACTTGGTGAAAGGAAATATCTCTCACGTGCACATCTTGTAGAGCTTGTTGATGAAAAAATTGGAGAAGGTAAGGAATTGCTACAGAAAGGTAGTTTGTATATTGAGATTTCGACGAAGAAGCAATTCAAGTACGTGATCATTGGTGGTGGAGTTGCAGCTGGATATGCAGCAAGGGAGTTTGTTAAACAAGGGCTCAAACCAGGTGAGTTAGCAATCATATCAAAAGAAGCAGTGGCACCTTATGAACGCCCAACACTTAGTAAGGCCTATCTGTTTCCTGAGGGAGCTGCCAGACTTCCAGGGTTCCATGTCTGTGTTGGAAGTGGAGGAGAGAGGCTGCTTCCGGAGTGGTATGTGAAGAAAGGTATTGAGTTAATTCTCAGCACAGAAATAGCTGAAGCAGATCTTCATTCGAAGACCCTCACTAGTTCCACCGGGAGAACCTTCGAATTTCAAACTTTGATCATTGCAACTGGCTCCAGAGTTATGAGGTTGACAGATTTTGGTGTACAAGGAGCTGATGCCAAAAACATTTTCTACTTGAGAGAAATCAGTGATGCTGATGAACTTGTAGAAGCAATTAGAGCTAAGAAAAAGGGAAAGGTAGTGATTGTTGGAGGAGGATACATTGGTCTTGAAGTCGGAGCAGTTATGAGAATCAACCAATTCGACGTTACCATGGTTTATCCGGAGCCATGGTGCATGCCTCGGCTTTTCACTAAAGAGATAGCTGCTTTCTATGAGGCTTACTATGCTAACAAAGGAATTAAAATCATCAAGGGTACAGTTGCAGTTGCGTTCGATGCTGATACGAATGGAGAGGTAAAGGCAATGAAACTCAAGGATGGCAGGGTGCTGCAAGCTGATATTGTAGTTGTTGGTGTTGGGGCAAAGCCTCTCACTGATTTATTCAAAGGGCAAGTTGATGAAGAGAAAGGTGGCATCAGAACTGATGGAATGCTTGAAACAAATGTCCCGGATGTGTATGCTGTAGGCGATGTGGCTACTTTCCCTCTGAAATTGTACAATGACATGAGAAGAATTGAGCATGTTGACCATGCCAGGAAATCAGCTGAGCAAGCTGTGAAAGCTATCAGGGCAAGTGAAGAAGGGAAATCCATTGAAGTGTATGACTACCTTCCATACTTCTATTCGCGTGTCTTTGATCTTTCGTGGAAGTTTTATGGAGACAATGTTGGTGATCCATTGATGTTTGGAGACAAAAACCCAGCATCCGTAAAACCGAAGTTTGGAACAGCATGGATCAAGAATGGGAAGATTGTGGGAGTGTTTTTAGAGGGAGGGACAGATGAAGAAAACGAGGCTATTGCCATAATGGCAAGGGTCCAGCCTCCAGCTGAGTATTTGGATCAACTGAAAAAGGAGGGTTATTTCATTGCTTGACTGGAACTCTAGATACCATGTATAAAATTGAATTGATGGCTTGGGATTTCAATGAGTTGGTTTTGTTCCTGCACTTAAACAGATTGCTGTGTGCCCTGGATTTTATTTCTGTTTCTTCACATTTTATTCTCTGTATTGATTTGATTGGAAAACAAAAAGATGCTTTCATTGCTCTTTCTTTCTCTTTCACTTAAGGTATACTTAAAAATTTGTACACCTCTAACTTGCACTATGATGAAAACCGTTGAACAAATCTCATATAATTTGTTCACTCATCCTATTTAAATAATTTCCTCAGTTTGAAAGCACAAAAATAAAAAGGTTTAAAGTTACTCCTGCACTCGAGTTACTGTGTTCGAATCCCTCCTCTCTTAATATGGCTTCTGTTTAAATTAAAAAAAAAAAAAAAAAGGACAAATGTGACTTGAGAAAAGCACCGACTTAACGTTGTGAGTCTTCTTCCTACACCATTATCTTCAGTTGACAAATACAAAGCTGGGGTCTTTTGAGTTCCATTAAACCGAAACGCTAGCGATATTCACAGACGCGTATCGGGTACCAGAACGACACGTCGCTGCCGAAATGGCTGAAATTAGAATTGAGAGAGCCTCTGATAAGCTGAAAGAGCACAAACCAAACCCCAACCGCCGAGAAAACATTGGCGGGTTTCTGGGTCACATCGCCAAATTTGCTATTGACTCCACCATCAACTTCTCTCTCAAAGCCCTCCCTGGTTAGTTTCTTATCTATCGCACTATGTAAAGTGTTAGATGATTTTTGGGTTTTTATTGTTTGATTGAAATTGGTAATCTGGGATCATTTTGTTAATTATGGATAGGATTTTTGGTTCGTCATCTTGCTCAGAAGTAGTAAATTTTTTGCAAGAACGCATGATTCTTGTTGAACCCTGTTGATGTTGTTGCATTCTGGAATCGTTTAATTCTCTCTCTCTCTCTCTCTCTCTCTCCCTATGCCCATGTTCTTAAATTTCAAGTGCACTTTCTATGAAATGCTCAAATTTTGTACCTTTATCAATTTGTAAGTGAAGGGCTCACTGAAAATGCCTATGATGCTGTGGAAAATACAAAGAGGATTGGATTGTTGTTCTAGTATTATTTTTCAGGCCTTTAAGGCGAAGCTTTCCCCGGAGTGTTGTGTGCTGTTATTTGAGCTATGGAAACTATCTGAGAGAAAAATGAGTTTCTGTAGATATAAAATATGGGAAGCTTTGAATGGTTGTGTCTTTAAACTGGTTACTTGAAGACTTGTTGAAGCAGCGAACAAGGTACTAAATATATCCTTCAAAATTTGTCAGAAAATTCAAGCTATGAACAGAAAGACATAGGGAGAGAATGTCAAGTGGCCCGCTAATGTTTGTTGAGGTAGACTTTGGCGCCACTAGTAAATACTTAGAAATAATGAGTGAAATAATAACGGTGAATTGCGGAAAGTTGATGGATATCGAATGCAGAGTTGATAGAGGCCTTGGCAAGCCAAGAAAGCTCACTAGTCGTGGAGGTAAAGCTCAAAGATGAATCTGGCTTTGTTTGGATTATAAGTTCACTCCATTTTCAAAATGGTACCTAAGCAGCACATAGATTAGTCAGTGAAGCTAATGGTGTTGCTGTTAAGGAACAAGAGTTCTGGACGCAATTCCCACCTTTTTTTGGGTCAATAGCAGAGCTGCCAATATTTTATTTTCTCGATGTTTGTTAAATTTATTTTATTTTGGGCTCAATTCCTAAATAATAAAAGGGATGACGATGGGGTTTTAGAATTTTGTTGCACATATACATTTGTCTCTGGATATTTTCTCTCTTTCAGGTGCAAAATTCTTCATCTCCAGGGTATTGTTTAATTTGTCACGAAATCCGACATTGTCATTGTCCTTTTGATGCTTTAACAGAATTTCTTTAGAAATCCTCAATCCTATAGAGATGATGGCTTATAGTATTTTCTCAGTGATAGTCATCATTTTGGCATCCCAATGATATCCTATGTCTTTGCAGCAAATAGCCCCTTTTTCCACAATTCTCAAAGCTATTTTTAAATAGCATTACATTGTTAGGAACATGGGTTTTGTTTAAACTCACTAATTGGACAGGCTGCCCCTGGACCTCAGCTTGTGATGCATTAAGCATCCCATCTCATGCCTGAAAGGTTGCATTCGCTATCATTTCTGCTATTTTTTTATTTGAGCCAGTGTATATAGAATAATGATGACCTCAAATATACATCTACTCTTGAATTTATTGGACATCTTTTTTGGCAGAACTTTATTTCTTTATTTCGTCCTTAAATAACAGAGTTGATTCGTTGTAACTTGTATTTAGCTACTTCCATACTTCGGTAAACTACAGATGCATCCGCCACCGTTTCTCTTTCCCCATATTTTTTAACTTTTTTTTATCTCCACCATTTTGACCACTGCAGGTAGGAAGCAGGTGTATCAGATTGTGCAGGAGGGATTAAAGGATCAACCCCTTTCAGTTTCTCCTAATGACAACAAGAAACCAGAAGATCTTAAGTTGGCAATGGAGGACATGCGTGCAAAAATGGAGGATATGCAGGAAGACACGAACATTGTAAAGCAACAACATAACATATCAGCAGAACATGTCGTGCGATCAGCGGATCCAAAGAAGATGCAAGACGGAGGAGGCATTCAGGGGTCAGATCCTCTGCCGAACAATAAGAAGAAGATCTTCATTCGATCGCGTCTATAAATTAGAAAATGAGGCTGGTGTAGATGACCATAACAGCAAGTCAAAAAATAAAGGACTGTAATCCCAGTATAAAGAAAAACCAAATGTAATGGCATATAGTATTGGGGGTATAAATCTTATGTGTAATGTGTCAATAATTTACTATTTCATATAGAGTTGATATTTGATATGTATGATATGTATGTATTATGAACTTCACAAAAAGAGTAAAGATCACATGACTCATGAGAGGATCATGTTTCCACCCAAGTGGGCTGTTCTTCTCAGTTTGGTATTGCCAGCGGCCCAGCCTTGATTTTTTGGGGCCTTTTAGCTCACATTATACCCAAGGAAAAAATAATAATAATAAGGCAAGGGCATTTATGGAAATTAGAAAACCATTTTTCGTTTGTGCATGTTTTTCTCCTCGTGTAGCTTCTCTGTGTTTCCACATAGTCTCTCACTCTGTCTCAGACTCACTCTGTCACTCAGAGCACCGAACAATGGCGGCATGGACAGCGGTGGCTCGGCAAGCCGCGAATATGGCGCGGCTCTCCTCTCCCAAGTCGTCTTGTTCAGCTCAAGCCGCTTCCCTTGTCCATCGGCGCGGTCTTGCCGTCGGTGGTGGTAATTTACTCACCCTTTAACGTTTTTCATTTTATCATGAGCTCCTCGTTTAATCTTCTTCCTTTATTTGTTCTGTTTGGTTGCTCAGTAAGTGTGACAAAATACTTTATGAATTTCACTTATATCAACATGGTTGTACCACCTCTGGGATAGTGGTGGTAGTGTCAGAACTGGGCTTTTTTCTGTTTAATGAACTTTTCTTTTGTTTTTCTTTCTCCTACTTAACCTGAAGTCAAATGGGTTGTGCTCGATTTATATTCATATTTATTTTCTTTTGTTCGTTTCTTGCTGTTCTACTTGCTTGACTGTGTTGCAGATCATCATGGACCTCCAAAGGTGAACTTTTGGGAGGACCCAATGCGCCCATCTAAATGGAAGCAAGAACATGTGAGTTTTATTATAATTTTTTTTTTCAAAGACGTCTTTATAATGGTGTTGTTAGATCATTGTTGAGATTATTTTGATTGCCTTTTAACAATGCTAGAGAAATTTCCTGTTTTTACATGAAGACAAGTATCATATTATGTCAAAGTTTATAGTGAATGGATACTTGGGCTATGTTTGTGGTTATAGGTTTTTTATTGTCAAATAAAGTTGTACCTCCAAGTTGAAATCGAAATCTGCAATTGACAGCTTTCAGTCTCATTTTGATGTTGAGGAACGTAGTAGTCGTGTTATGTTGTGGTGTGTGTGAGCGAGAGAGATGGCCTTAATCTTTTTCGCTTGTCCAAGTAGGCAAAGAAAGTTGATTTCAATGCTATTATTGTATAAGGTGTATATCGAGTCTCAGATGAGAATGTGGGAGAGAAGTTGATGTGTTTGAGGATGTCTTTAATTGTCTGTTGAACTAAAGAGACAAAATGATTGTGTTGAGTGAAATCCTCATGCCAAAATACCTTTGGATTGCCTGCAATAGTGCTGCATGAGATATTCATATGGCTTTAGTGATTTAGAGTCAAGACTCTTATATCTCATGTGTTGCTTCACTCGTTACAGTTTGTGATTGTCTCTTTAGCTGGATGGGGGACACTCCTATATGGGGGTTACAAGTTCTTCACCAAAGACAAAAAGGACAAGAAGGACGAGGTACTTTGTTAAAGCTTTTGATTATGAGCTTTGTCTATTTTCATTCATCTCATGATCTCATGAAGCTAAATATGTTTCCCTACGTCGTTACATTCCATTTAGGATTAGGAATAGGCGTAATCGGACCTGCTTTTTACATATCTCGCGTTAAGTACCTTCTCATTTTTAGTGTGACAAGATTAGACACAAATATCTCCTACATTTGTTACTCTAAAAGAATAATTCAGTTGTGTTGGGGTGTATATATGGATTTCATAGTGAAATTCTTCCGTGTTCCTTTCCATTATCCATGTGTTTTCTGAACCATCAGTTCTTAACTCTTGCATTATGGTCTTCGATCAGATCTATCCGGAGCTGAGAACTTGGCCTCATAAAATGATTTGAGTTGTAAGAGTTGGGCTGATTGTTTATGCATGCGATGGCTTGAGGTAGTTTTCACCTGGTAGAGGTGTTTATGTATGATGATGCTTACATTTCCCATCTTCATGAACCTGAAGCATTCGAGTATTTGCCATTCTCGCTGGATGACCTACACATATTTCCATACTTATGAAATCAATCTCCATTAGCTGAGCATTCTGTTGTCTTTGGTTGCAGAAAGTTGGAGAACCATCACACTAGCTTTTCGAGATCCTGAGTATATGTACAAATAAATAAATCGGTGTCTCGTCTTCAGAATATCTACAATGAGCATGATCTTCCATGATACAAGACACCACAGTTTTTAGGCAGTTCCAGTTTGTACATGACTGTTGTTTAACATGACTGGATTTATACATGGTGCCTTTTCATTTTATGGTCATTTTATCTAATGGTCATGGTTGTTTTAGCACTCGTGCATTCTAGCAAACCCTTTTCTTTTTACCACTAAACTAGTGGAACTTGAACATTCTTGGTTGATGATTTTAGAAATCCATCATTGCCAAGAAACCTGGATAGGTGGGAAGGTAGTTTAAAAGAAATCTGTCGCCTCAAGGTCAAGGCAAAAAGTAATTTGAGAACAACTTTGCAAATGGCTTTACACCTCAAAGCACCATATAAACAGTATCTACAAATAAATTGACCAAAATTTATCTCACAGCCTTGGCAGCAAGTTTAGTCATGTAACCGAGAAAAGCCTTACAACTCAACCCAAATTGCAAATGAACACTTTGCATCCATAAATAATATACAAAGTATGAAGCAAAGTCTTCATTGTCAAAAACATAATTTACACTTAGGATGCCACATTGGTAACCATTTCCCTTTCTCGCATGTTCAGTCTTGCCCTTTCACCATGCCACCAGTTTAACATCGGATTACCCTTTAAGACGATGCTGGTTACAATGTTATTTCCAGATTTTCTAGGAAACAATTCTATATTACTATTTTCAATAATCTACGAGTAATATTAGATCATATTTCAAGCATAATAGTTTTCCACCATTTTCATCAACAGTGTCTCCCAAGCAGCTTCTCAGTCCGCATCTTTTACTTCTGCTTCAATATCAACAACTGCCTTAGAAGACTCCTTCCCTGAAACCAGTCTCAAGCTCAGAAAACAAATCGATAAATATCGGTATTACGACCATGAAGAGAAAATGGCAACATGGCAAGAGGCTTTTCAGGGATAACCTCTTGTGGAACGGGTGTAGTCATTGAATGCCTGTCCAAATGTTGTAGACTGATTGGAGTATTTCACAGAGTCCATTACAAACTTGTTGTCCACCACTGAAATGAACAAAAATAAGTCTTAAAACATGAGGGACCGTGGACACTACTTTTCCATCAGATACTACAACTTATTCATAATTTAGAAATACAAGTCTTCAGTCTACTAACAGGAGAAAGCTGCTTGAGGAATTTTTGGAACTCATAAAAATATGAAATCCAAAATTTAACTGATACACAGACAATAAAGGTCTGCAGACTGGTAAGAGGAAAAAAAAGCAGCAAGTAGAATTTGGAACTCAAAAAAGCAAGAAACGAAAATATTAGAATACCTGAGAAAGGTTGGGTGCAGAAGGGGCACTGCTGCAAATCATCATTTAAAGCAGATCTGCAAGAGGTTACATCCTCGCCCAAGTTATGCAAATTATCATAGATGACAATCCTTAATGAAACTAGAGAAGAACAACCAATACAGGTCCCCATAAGTTAGCTTGAACTATAACAGAATTCAACTGGTCTTACTTGAAAATCTGAAAATCGTTTCCGCAGTTTGGGCACTGCAAGTACATAAAGAAAAAAATCATTAAAGGCAGAAGACATTAGAGTAAGAAATATATAAACGTTCACAATTGAAAATGACCCTCAGGATGTTACTCCGAAATTACTTGATTACAAGATGTGGATGAAGCGTTTGTGAATTGTTACATGAAAGAGTATCACTTGCGTACTCAAGCTTTTTTCAAACATCCTATACATGTCATGCATTTATCTGATACATCTCACATGGGAAAGAATGAACTCATTATAACACACTAGATTTCTACATGCCTATCCATGGAAACTATCCAACACCAATCCAGATGATCTGTTTATATAGCACCTGTGATACAGTTAAATCAAGAGCTTGCGACCAATGCAAACATTACTTAATTGTCAACTCCAAATAAAAGAAAATCATAGAGCGTTTTGGTACACCATCCACTAGAAGATCTGTAGATTGATAAATTAACTGTCCACACATGCCAAAACATCATGTAAGACCTAATCTATTGTTAAAAAATAATTGAAGCTAACATAAATAATTAAAAAGGTTTTACTAGTCCTTGTAGGTGTCAAACTGGTAGCAACATCTTCAGTTGTGTTTCACTAAGCAACAACAAATGTTTGATACCACAGTTGAAGAAAACTATGAGCTTTAAGAAGTGAGCAAGAGAAAATAAAAAGAAATGAAGTAGCCTTACACTGTCTTGAACCATATCCTGCCTTGCCCACCACAGAAAAGCACCCACACCAACAATTGGTACAAGCACTGCAAGGAGCTGGATGTGAAAAGGCATCAATTTCATTAGAGATATAATCCTACATGCTGATGTCAGAGTCAACAAAGCTACCAGTATTCTTCAGAAATGTAAAGGAACTAAGATTTGTGAGAAGAACCCCAAATCAGTTGCTAAATGAGAGAGAGTACCCAAATGGAAACAATTGCATCCAAAATCCAACCAAGCTGCCCAGTAAATGAAAGATAAGTCAATCCAATAGCCAAGGCTAAATTACCCAGAACTCTAGCAGTGGCTCCATCATCTTTGCATCCAAAATCCAACCAAGCTGCCCAGTAAATGAAAGATAAGTCAATCCAATAGCCAAGGCTAAATTACCCAGAACTCTAGCAGTGGCTCCATCATCTTTCCCACCACCACCTCCATCACCATTAAACCCAAACCCCTGATTGAACCTCACCACAACCTCTCTTTTCTTCTTCTTCTTCCATCCCTCATCTCTCCCCAACATCTCATCTTTAACACTACCCCCTCCCAAGGAAGACCACCTCTCCCAATAAGCCCTCACCTTGAACCTGTTCTGCTTCAAACAACCAATCTTTGTCCTCGACACAGAGCAATATTTGATGGGTTTCTTGTATATGTCATTATGCAAACTGCTCAGCCTGAATGCTAAGGAATTGATAGAGATTTGAACAACGGTTGTCATGGAAAAGATGGAAGTTTAAGCATAAACGACCCAATATCTAAAACACTGGTTTTGCACTGTTCATAGGGGATTTCATGGTGAGCTTGGCTTAATAAGATGGGAAGAAATATATCTGTTTTCCCTAGCTTTGGCTTTTCTACTTTCTAACTATGATGTCGCTTAGTTTTTCTATTCTCAGCATTACTTACAGTATTTTATTAGTGACCCAATAACCATGTTGTTTCTTACCAGATATGTGACCCATGTGGCCAAAATTAGTGTTCTTTGAAATTTAAGGGGGGCAGAAAATAAAATAATATTGACATGATTGTGTAAGGTTATATGGACCACATCTTTATGATTCTTTTCTTTTCGTCCCCAAAATAAGGTCCAAGAAAGAAAGGGTGACAATTTAGTAAGTAAAAAAAAGTGACAGTTTGTGTTAGACTGGATGTTCATGTCGTCATTTTGTGGTGAATAATATTCAAATTTGACACGCTTAATTAATCGTGTTAAATGACTCAATAAAATATAGCAATTAAATAAAATGTCACCTTTGTATAAGGCGTATATATGAGTTCTTTTCAATTCAGGGTGCGAGCAATAAGTAAACATGTCATAAATACTCTTAGGATTTGGATCATCCCCAAATAAAAGGAGGGAGTAGTCGATTTGTGAACATGCTCAACATAAAACCCCAAACTACCAGGTAGTAACTAGTGTGAACAGAGATTTTTGGTTACAATGACAGACAAAAAGGTTTCCTCATAAATTAACCCATTTACATGAGGTCATAAAAAAAAACTAAACAAAGGTTTGCTTTGAAGTATTTTGTAAAGGAAAACGCTAGATCTTTATTCATTATCATATAAATAAGGTACAAATAGCACCATATCTGTATCTCTTCAGTATGATGGCTATATTTGCCAATGTTCCTCGTAAAACAGCTAGAAAAATTGAACACATATCATTACATAACATTCTGAACCACACTCTTGGCCCCCAAATCATTCTTTCTTCTTTTCCCTTGTCTTATTTGGTATACCATCGTCTCTATACGGTTCAACACTGTACGCGTACTTCTGAAAAACTGAAAATAAAACCATCTCCACACACACCAATATGTTTTGAAGAGCTTCCTCAATATGCTCCACGTCTAGCCAGATATGATGAGATCGAATTATTTTCAATGCTGCAAGTATGTCAAGAACAACTCCCTGCAAAATCAATTGAACTACTTTCTCAAAACACACAACAAATTTCATTTTATAGAACAAGAAATAAGGATTAGCCCTGCTCCAAACTGAACCAAATCCAAATCTACTAATTGGAAATGTTCAAGAAAGTACATCTTATGGAAGTTTTTTGCAAGCCAATATGGGAATATCAGTTTTGATATTTGAGCAAAAAAATGATTTCTTGTGTGCATTCTAAAGTAAGGCTACCGGACAGACATGGTTCTCAAAATTCAACGCAGAAACAAAGGTATTTATGGTTTTGGACATCTTGAAACTAGCATGAAACACAGTTTGAGACATGTACACTGGTGTTAGAACCAGCACGATCTGCCCAACAATCAGGATGGACAAGAAAGTATACAGTGTCCTTAACTCATAACAATCTATATCTTGGGAAGCATTAAAAATCGTTTTACATAGGGTCTGATACCACAAGCACTATAACATCACCAATATGATATATCTTGCTGCTGTATGACATGAAACAGATCTAGAAGGAAGAATGCAATATGCACATTGCACATTTTCACTACTGCTCAAGGAGCTCTACCAGAGGTCCATCCTGCTCGAGATTTAGAATCAGCAAGACCAATACCTACTCCACTATCCAGTGGTACGTCTAAAAGCTATGGAAGGTTACATTCCCTAGTCAGAGTTTATAATATTTACAAAATCCTTTATCCACAATGGCATTCTCTAACAATCCACATTTGACAGAACTATGAACTTGTCAGTTTCTGGCTCAGCATGAAAGGGGAGATGGAATGATAATTACCTGCCAAAAGCAGAAGAAGACAATCCCTTTGATACATAAGAACTTAGCAAGAGGTTTGTGTGGTGCCAGCTCTTTAGCAAACACATTATAGAAAACAATAAGAGAATACAGAGCCAGTGTCACTGAAATATTCAGAATTATTGTGAATGTCCAGCTAACCCAACTGGGATATACTCCAAGGAGTTGAAGTGTTATCATCAAGATGGAGCACACAGGGCGAATCACAACAAATTGCCACGTCCAGTACTTGAGAAGCTTCAATGTTTGATGGTTTAAACGAACAGTGCGAGGCTGCATTTTTTATAGATACAAGTCAATATACCTCAACATGTCAAGGGTAACAAAACTAGCTAGTTCCAATAAATCCAAGGAAAATTAGTTACATACATACACTTTCACACTCTACTGAGAAGGTGAAAAGACTAAGAATTCAGATAGCTAGAAGGTCCTTGTCATTGCAAGGAAAGGAATCTTTCTATTGTTCTCATCCCAAAGAGAATATGCAATTTCTTGCCAATAAATATGAGTTCTTTAAGCATAAAATTGAAGTGATATAAGGAAACATACACATTTTTCAGTCGTTAACTTAATTAACACAACGAGAATCGGAGATGAAAATTCATTTACCAGAAAAAGAGTCATGGGAAATGAATGGTGAATCTCCCGTCCTTTGATTTCATCTGGCACTATGTTTTTACTTATAGATATGTTCAAGTAGCTGTACAGCAAACCCAAAAAATTAGCTATCACCTGCACTGCACATAATGAATTTACAAACTCAAGCACTAACAAATTAAGGATTAATGACAATAGAAAATACATGAAAAGTTATATTGAAATCTTACCAAAGCCTCGTAGCACTCCTTGATGGAGTCCAAAAAAGTAAAGAAAACATTGCTTCCCTGAAAATCTAACAAGCCCACAAAAGAATGTAGAGCATATAAGGGCGCCATAAGTATAATGATTATGATGGCTTTTTGCTCCTTTGGCTTCTTCCAGTAGAAAAAATGTTCTGAGAGAAGCTGTACTGAGAAATGCATTGTAAGCATCGCGCAGAAAGTGGAAGCCAGAAGAGTAATTTGTGCCGGATTTCCCATTTTTCCTTTTGTGTTTTTAACCACAGAGGTGGTGATTCAAGAACTAGGACCTGCAATAAAGTGTCAATGGTTTCAGCTAGGATCAACTGAAGCACTAAACCCAACAGTCTGGGAGAGCAAATTATAAGTCTTATATCGATGAAAAATCAAAACAAAAACCATAAATTTGTGATAACCCAAATGACAAAAACACAAATTTATGAAGTAAAAGTTGCAAACACAGAGCAGAAGCATAAATTCATATGAAAAGTCAAAGATTTAGAAACACTATTCAAAAAGTCAAGCTGAAGTTAACTGTAAAGTAATGCTACAGGTAGAAGTCAAGTGAACCACTCATAAGCTAATAAGTTCAGAAAATGGACTAACTGTCTCTTGGTTTGCAGAGAGAAACGCTTGCTTCTGCGATATTTCCTTAGCTTTATCGAGAGTAAAGGAAGCTCAGAAAAGATGGCTAGTTTTGAATATGTCGTAGTAAAAAAAAATGTGACTGGTGGGTTTGGTTTGTTGCTCAGAATGAGATTTATTTTACTCTTAAGGATAGATAGTGAGAGATGGTAGCGATTGAAGCTCCTCTCCCATGCTTTGAACTCCAATTTATTGCAGAAATCTGGCGGAATAGGAGATAGCATCTCTGTTAAATGAAATATAAATGTTTATATCATGTTTAGTATCCACAGCGGGGATAGCTCAGTTGGGAGAGCGTCAGACTGAAGATCTGAAGGTCGCGTGTTCGATCCACGCTCACCGCATTTTAGTGTTTTTCCCTTTTTTTAAAAATATATATTTTTTTATCCCACGGCTCTAGATTTTATTTTGTATGTAAATTACTTTACCTATGTATATTTTTAAAAATATAAAATCTAACACATCAATTTTGTTAAAAAAATTTACTTGGGTAGATCCTAGTCATCAAACTTAAGCTAAGAAAAATAAATGACTCATATGGGTATGGACTTCCCAAACCTGTCAGACTGGTCCATTCTCGGTTCTATATTATTTGAAACCACTACTTCAACTAAACTGAACCGGCATACTAAAATATCGGAAATATTAGAGCAATTCCACCAGTTGCCCTTAGCCATGGCAAGGGGGGGGGCTAGGGCAGCCACTATTCACGTGAATAGTGACTGCCCTTGTAAAAAGCAATGTTGGTTTCCAACAGTTGCCCTAGTTTAGGGCAAACACTATTTATTTTTTTTGTTTTTTTCACTTATTTGTTTATCTAACAATTAATTTGGACAATATTTTTTTTAAAGATTTTTGGTGTGGGAAGTGAAAAATATGACTAAGTATTTATTTTTTAAAAATCTGAATTTTATTTTATTTTATCGATTTTTTTCGATTTTTTTTTAAAATTTTTATTGCTGACGTCATTGATGACGTCAGCTCCCCCGAGTTTTGGACCTGGGGCTGGACCTGCCCTCGGGCCAGCCCGACTTCGTGGACCCCACAGCCATCTCGGGCCAAACCCTGCTGCTGGAGGGCCTTTTTTACCCAAACCTGCCCTAGCCTCTGTCCAGCCCGAGTTGCTGGACATGCTCTAAGGGGTAAAGTGTTGGCCAAAGTGGTGACTCCGTACGAGAGCAGGGATCGAACCCCTAACCTCTCTTAAGGAATGAGAGTGCCGAACCACTCACACCAACCACCTTGGTTAATCATTCATCTTTTTCAATAACCAGTAGAGCATAAGTTTTGCTAACAACGTGTTTAATGACAAGCAAAATTCAGCAAACTATTCATCTCTTCCAAATATAAAATTTTCACTCTGATCGGCTCCAATCTGTTTCACCAATCGATGTAATGAGTTAATGAGAAAAATTGCCAAATGAGTGGCAAAAATCAATGTATAATAAGGCAAAAATTGTAAGATTCAATTCATTTCCAAGCTACACTTGAGTGACTGATTTTCTTGCATCACGCCCCAAATCAAAGAAAACCATAGGGAGTAAAAACTTCCTCAGACTGTATCCTCACTTGTCCCCTTGGGTTCGAGTAGTAGCTCCCATTACAATAAACTGATCCGCCAAGCTGATTAGAATGGTGGCAGAAGTACCCAAAAGTGAGTCTGACAATTATAAACCAGGTAGTTAATAAGGAACTCTCATATAAAACACAAAAACCCGGAACTTGGTAGCAGAAGAGTCCGTTGTACCTTGTATCAAAAAATTGAGGTGAGTTTGATGTCACTTCTGTTATACAGGCTACAGCAATCAGGGAAAGGGTATATCTTGAAGCTGCCATAACACGTAATTCTTGCACGATAAATAGACATTAATGGCATCCCTGAAAATATTACATTCTATACAACCTTGCTGTCCTCTTTGCAAAAATTTGGTTCTACATCATATGGCTTTTAAAACCTCTCCAAGAACTAGTCCCCACTGAGTCCAATGAGAGCCGCCCTGCATTAGAAATCCAACAAAAACTGAAGTTCAGGATGCAATAATTGCCTTAAATTAAGTTAAATATATCTCCATTTCTAAAGCTTCAAACTTACCCTACTTCATAATTCCAGGATAGGGTCAAGTCTCAACTAGGACACTAAACGATATAAAACAAGCACTTACCTGGCAAAATACAGCAAATGGCTCTCTTAATGGTCCATCGCATGAAAGCTCACTCGTACTCCCATCAATGAAGGTTCCATCAGCAAAGATCACCTGATACATGACAACTAAGAGTGATTGAAAAGCCTTACTGAAAATTTACAAGTAACACTGCAACTTGTTAATGCAAGATTGGCACCACTCTCGACAAAAGTTGTGCATAGTAACACCCAATTTCAGAGATGATAAAGATCGCAGCAATGCTATTATGCATGCTTAGCTGTTTAAACTTTATATTGATAAAGATCTCAGCAATGCTATTATGGTGCTTAGCTGTCTAGATATAATGAAACTAGGAAGAACTAGAAATGACTTCTCGACCAGTTTTCACATAGAAAAAAACTCTCAAGTTGAAACTAAATTATAAGACCTAATATCCAGATAATTGCCACTAGAACCTGTCCCACAATAACGCCTCAAGCATGGATTTTAATCTCCAAGAACACTGCATTGCTTACTTTATATGAATTGACATCAAAGGCATCTGAAGTCGGTGAAAGTTTGAATGAGCCAGTAGTTAATGTATGTGTAAAATTATTGGTTAAGTTAGCATCCAACCCAAATCAATCGGTAATAATAAATGGAGAGGCCCAAAAAAAATTCTATTGAGATGCAAAGCATTCAATTGTGGATATATAGTCTGTTTCATTACCATTTTAAGTTGGAGCATCCAATACAAAACCAGTTCTGTCCAGGAAAAAAAAACCCAGACCAATTAACAATGGATGGAGAGGCCCCAAAATTTTTATATTGAGATGTTAGGTTTAAAATGTCCAATGTGGGACTTAATATTCTCAACTATCCTGATGTGCACTTAAGATATATGAGGCTTCTAATGCACACAATTAGCACTTCATCAGAACCAGACTCATAGATTTGGTTAGGAACAGATTATATTAATAGAAGCTGCGGCTGCCTGCTTCCTTTGTTGTAAGAGATGAAAATAATTCTAAAACATTAAGTAACTAAAATGCAGAACTAAATGTAGCCAGACCTCTGATGCATATCCAGGAGTTGTACCAGCAATTGGTCTAGTAAATGAACCTACTGGGGAGCTTCTCTGTACAGCCTCACAGAAAGCAAGAAGACGCTCCCGGCTTCCAAGCTGTATGGCCTGAAAAGAATTATTAAAATATTTGAGATTTTCTTCTGTCTGTAGCAGAGCATGTTTCCCAACTAACATTGTCAATCAGCTAACCAAAACGGCACAAGCAGAATAACATTATCATCTTACATTTATTGACAGATATGCTATCTGTTTAAAAGGCTAAATTATACGGAATACTAACAATTAGAATGAATGAAATAAGCAGCTGCTTGCTGCATATAGATCTTTGTTAACTCCGGACCATGTGACCATTCAGACAGACCTAAATCTCTTAACCAACAACATAATGTTTTGGAGGTTCACTTGGAATTAGGAAATAATATAATAAAAAATGGTAAATTACCTGTACTGTGTCATGACGAGGAACACGAGGAAGTGGCTGCACCTTATACCCTTTGGATGCCATAACTTCAGCGACTAGGAGTGTACCCTATTGTAGAGGAAACCAGGGAAAAAAATGAGCTCCAAGTTGAATAATGGAAATTAAATGTAAACTAGGAAATGCATATTTCAATACCTTGATAGCTTCGCCTACCATTTGAGGTGAGAGGAACAAACCCTGGAAAAATGCTCGCATAATGTCACCAGGAGTTGAGCCGCAATCAACTCCAAGGCCAGGTGCAGATAAACGAGCTGCTGCTGCTTTTACCCATTTTTCTCTCCCTGCAACATATCCACCGCATGGTGCTATAGTTCCACCAGGATTTTTTATCAAACTGCCAGCAATCAAATCTGCACCCTGAACACCAACAATGACATTTTATTGCCTTTCTTCAGAAGAAATAAAAAGGGATACAAAATATGACACATACCACCATTGGAGGTTCAATGCTTTCCACAAATTCACCATAACAATTATCAACCATGACCAAGCAATTAGGATTCTGCGTCTGTTTAAATATAAGAGGAACAACAATAAATTTTCCAAGCCAAAAGAATTCACAGGAAAAAACGAGCGAGAGTTAACAATAACAAGTCAGAATTTATCAACTTCAGGCTACTCCAGAATTAAAAAATAATAATTAGATTAATATATATTAACAGCAGTTGCAGTGTGAAAGAAAATCTTCCCGGATGGGTACCCCAGTAATATGGCTACTCAAGGAGCAAAACAATTAACATACCATTTGTTAAAACGTCATGCTATTTAATATTGAATGACACCACTTTAATGTTACAAAGATTCCGATTGGCACTCTTATTCTGGTTAGAAAGTCAGATCCATGTGATGATTAGTTACCTTAATTATCTTAATTGCTCGCCTTATCTCATCTACACTTAAACTCTGACGCCATGAATAACCACATGACCTCTGTATGAGTGCACATTTTGTTTCAGGTCTCAAAGCATGCATAAGCGCATCCCAGTCAAGGCCACCATTTTCAGCAAGCTAAAATGACATCAGATATGAGATAGTTCACAAAGCACAACAAGAAATCTGAAAAAAAGAAATCTTTTAGTATAACTAATAACATACTGGAACTTCACGGTATTTCACACCAAAATCTATCAAGGATCCCATCCCATGAGAGTCTCTCTTTCCAATAACTTCCTCTAGCGTGTCATAGGGAGGACCAGCAACTGCCAAAAGCTGACATTTAGATTAGTCGAAAGTCTAACCATATTCCAAGGACAAAGTGGACAAAGAAGAATATATAGCTGAGGAAAAACTTTCAACACAGAGTGCACCCAAGATCAAAGTAATAGCTTACCTCATCCCCTGGCCTTAGAAAAGCATATAAAGCACAGGTTATAGCATGAGTTCCTGAAAAAAACTGAATGTAAAGATGATTAACTAAGCATTGTAAATAACCCCATAAAGTAAACACAACACACTATATGACAAACCTGTGAGCGAACTATAGAAGATTCAGCACCAACAATTTCTGCAAAAGCTTGGTCAAGCGCTTCACGTCCCCCAGCTTCATCATGACCATAGCCAGTGCATCCGGCGAAGTGCTGATTGAAGACATAATCACGAGAAACATGTTGAAAACCATATACGATAAATTCAATGATCCCATAATTGTGACTGAAAGGCGGCAATTTCATGACTTCAAGAGACCCAAAAAGGAGAATTATGGGCTTTTCTTACAGAATTAGTGCATTAGTGACATATAAAATGAAAACAGTAAGGCATGCTTCTACAGAATCATTGCATGTATTAGTTACTAAAATAATTATTTCAATGCATGTATTATAACAACTAACATAACCAAATAAAAGGCCTTTGAACAAAGAACAAACGCATAGATATACAATGGAATGAGGTTGCATGGATATCTGCTTCTAATAACTAGTGGAGGCAATCTATATACATTCTTCCTTCTGAAGGATTACATGAAAAGAATTAGAACTATGGCTGTCACAGTATCACCAAAAAAAATATTGGCATCCAAGTATATATACAATAACCATCTTGAACATTATATCCAAATAAAACCACCAAAAAACAAAAAAACAAAAAAACAAAACCTTACATGAGATCCAACTCGAGCATTCTGGAAAGCTTTGAGAACACGGGTTGTATTGTGTGCCACCAAATTATCCACGGCTCTGAACTCTGAATACAAGGAGTCCACTGCTTCCGCAACCTGCATTGCACAGAATTGAACCACTTGGGGTATTATCATAATGAAACTTTTTGAGCTTAACGCAAATATCCAGCTCCATATCAACTCCATCCAAATCCCAAATATATACTTACTAATTGAAATCATATATATGTTAATTTAAGAATTATGTGCCCCAAACCCTATTAATAAATGGAAGATGGGTCAGTCTGGTTGCTCTGAAACTCAAGGAAACATGATGTGCCTTGTGGCTTAAGCTGCTTCGTTTACCAACAAAAATAAAAGTGGGGATAACCCACCTATAATAAGCCACAATATGCTTGACCCATTATTTTTTCCGATATAATTAAGATTGAAAGAAAAGAAATAATCTTTCTCTGCAATTCCCAAATTTTCTAAGCAAGCAAATTGAAGAATGACTATTAAAATAACTGGGTTTTGAGAGAACATGAGCAGCATTGAATTTAAAAGCTAAATACTTAGAAGTTCGATTTCGAGTAAATGTTTGCACTTTCCCAGCAACCAAACAGAAAACTAACCATCTTATTAACGTTCTAGATATTTTGAAAATAGCATGAACTTAAAGCGATTTACCTCTGGAACAAAAGGAGAGTCTTTCTGATGATAATGGTGATTAGTAGGGACTGAGACTGGAGAGCATGAACGAGTAGTAGCCATGGGTAAAGAAGCTCTGAGAGTGAGCATAGGATAAGCAGACGTGGCGCAGGATATGGCCCACATCATCGAGCAGTTTGAAGGAGACGACTGGGACTGTGGGTGTGTCTTTCTAATCTCGTATATTTTGAGCGCTTCCTATGAGCATTTCACTTGTTAACTTAGCACATGAAATTCTCCTCGGACAGCCAACGGGGCAAGCCTAGTGGAACCTTAACTTGCATATAGATCTCACGCCATCGTATTTGTGTGTGTGAAAACTCTCTATCATTTGTAGTTTGCACTAAAAAATAAATAAATAAATATAGATCTCACGCCATCGTATTTGTGTGTGTGAAAACTCTCTATCATTTGTAGTTAGACTATCTTGCACTAAAAAATAAATAAATAAATTCTCGTCGAGGCCCTGACCCTAATTAGGGGAAATTTTGGGACCAAACGGGTATCGGGTACGGGATCCCAGAACTTAAAAAATCCCTGAAGGATATGGGGAGGGGATGGTATTGGCGTTCTCATCTCCGAATCCGACCCGAAAATATATATGTTTATATTTAAAAAAATATATATATTTATAATATTTATGTTTGATCCTAAGTTAACCCCCCTCCCCTAATTCTTCCTAATTTTCTCTGGAATTTCATATTGATGTGATTTTGAATAATTGAGTTGAACTTTATAGCTAATTTGGATGTGTTGAATGATAATTTAATATGAAACTTAATGTTAAAATGTATGATAAATATTTTTTATGCAAAAAAAAAAACGAAGATTCGGGGCAGGTATAAAGGATAGTTCCCCGACAGGAACGGGGACGGGGATTCCCCGAAACCTATTAAACAGGGATGAGTTCGGAGATGGAGGCAAGGATGGAGAGCAAGAACCGGAATAGTATTGTCATACCCAGCCCCTACTCGACCCATTGCCATCCCTACTCGTAAGCTAAACACAAAGTCTTCACCTCCATTACTCTTCTTTCTTTTCACCTTCACTTGTAGGTTCCACATGCTTTACTACAGGTGCTTGTTATTTTTTCCTTCGGGATTTGTGCATTTAACTTTCACACGCAAATGCAATATGTAATAAAAGACATTTGTGTAGACCTTATGTTTACGTTTGTGCTTGTCCAAAGTTACTGAGTAACAGTAACAAATATTGTTACTGAGTGGCACTAACAAAATGAAAAATATATATGTACTACAAGAGAGGATTTTTCCCACTTGGTCAGTCTAGTCTACAGGTCTTAACCAACATAGTACATTAGGCAAGGCCATATGTTCTTTTGGTTTTCCAAGTTGGTCAATGACAAAAAATTTGTTTGATATTCTTTGTTGGCATTGATGACCTTTTTTTTTATTTATAGAAGTGATAATTGTATTCATAAATTAGTCACACAGACCATCAGCCACAAAGGTAAGACCATCAGCCACAAAGGCAAATACAAATGCTCACAAACGGATAATACAAATATGAAAACTTAGTAATCATATAGGGTTAATCCAGATACAGGCCACAAAAGGCTAGAGAAATTTCAACATAAAAGCCGCATGCCTGAACAAATCATACATGAATCACAGCGCCCAAATATACCAATACAACTATAACTTTTAACTCTCACAAGTACAAAATACAAATAAAAACTAGAAAACAATCAAACACCCAACTCACAAGGAGTTGATGCAATTATTACAAAATAAGAAAACTGCAAACAAACAACCAAAAACTAAAGAGCCACTACCGCTTATGTTGCCACTGCCACCACAAACGCCGTCGCCGCCTTGGAGACAAAGAACACCACCGAGATTGCAGCCAGTCACCTTACAACTAAAACACCAACCAACGAAACCACAAATTCAAGCAGATCTAGACACAAGTAACCTCCCCACAATTAAAACCCCAAATCCAGTAGATGGAGAAGGAGAAAATAAGTGGGGAGGTAAGGAAAAGATAGAGAGGGAGAGAGGAGGAGTGGCCTCCTTTCCCCTTCCTAGAACACAGCAAAAAAGGTTTGCGAAAGAGAAGGGAGGCTAGGGTTTTGATGACCAGGTTAAAAGTACTATTACTTACCTTATATTCCAATTTTGATTAGAAGTATTCAAGCACATGAACTATTAAGTAAAACATTACACGTGATGAGAAATGATTGGGAGTTATTTAATTTTCATTTCTTCATAATATTTCTCATTTTCTTAAGACTTATCTAACATATATAACTTGACCACGTAGAGCGTGTATCGTATGATGCGACACAGATAAGCAATTTCTCTTCTCATTTGTCCATTTATGTACACTTAGAAAAGTGTGTAAATTTGTTGTACTATCCTGGCTATGAGAGCATATATTGGTCATCTCATAGATATGAAATTAATTGTTGTTATATGTATGTGAAAGGGCTTCAATTCTTCTCTCCATTTGTGTATTTTGGCTCTTGAGCAGCAACCACTAAGCCAAGCATCGACAGTGACGAAAAACAACAGCCTTACATAGGCTTTTATACCCAAACAACCTTAGAGAGAATCATAGATAAGATGGCCTGAGGTAACTCTGATTTACAGTGACCAAGGACAACAGCTGAAATGGCTCGAGGTAATCTATTCATGTTTTCATGTTTTCATTTTTATGCTCTGTTAGAATCATTGTTGAAGATGAAATGTCATGCATGTCTAATCATATGATCTATAAATCCATGGTCGTGTTTTAAAGTGCATGCCTTTGGGCTAGACCAAGTTTTGTTTTGTTTTTTGTTTTTTGTGGTAAGAATTCGTTATGTTTTTATTTGTAGTTTTTTTCAAGGGGATGTGATTACTTTACTGTTTGCTTTCCCACACACCTAGCTAGTACTTATTAACTGTTTCTTTCACTACGATAATTGATCAATACACATACCTTAATTTTGCCCCATCTTAGGTATGAGATATTAGGATAATCAAATAATTTTTTCAGCTAAATTAATATTTTTAGTTTATGATCTCGCATTATTTGCTATAATAATATTTCTTGATCTAATAGATTCGAGCTAGCATTTAATGTTTTAAGAGTTGATTTTCGCGACGAATATTGTGTGTGTGTGTCTGTCTGAGATCGCATATGTTAAATAATCACTTGGTATATTTTTCTTTCTTTGATTCAACAATTATCATCTAATGATATTTAAAATCAAGATCATGCGCGATTTCAATAGTTAATTAAGGATCAGTTTTGGAGTGTTCTTGACAGTGTAAAAGCACTTCCAAGTTTAGTGAAAACACACTTTAATTTTGTAATGTTTGGATGTAACAATTTATTTATTTTTAAATGTTTCCTTGGATGTTTTTACTAGGAGCACTTCAGCATGGATATATATGCAAGAATACTAAGTTTTTATTCGAAACTTTTATGCACATCCAAACAGGTCCTTATTTGGTTAATTATTATTAAGCAAGCTCATTTTAAGTTTTATATTTTATTTTATATATTAATTCACCTGTTGAGTATACGGTATTGCAATTTATTATCACCTGTTGCAATGCACCACATTCACAGTCCTGAAATAATGCTATATATATGGTACTTGTTTCTCTCTTCTTTCTTCTTCCTTTCTCTTTCTCTCTCTCTTTTTTGGGTTTTGGTTTTAATAGAAAAAGGATGCGTGTATAGCGATGTGGATATTCAGGTACCATTAACCAAAACCAACAAAGGGATCATGGTGCAGTATCTGTCAACATGCACCTTAGCCACCTCTCTCTCTCTTGATCTCCCATCATTAGCATTTGTGGAAAACCATTAGACTTCTAAACATAATAAGCCTTACATATATAGCAAACCCTCATACATTTGTCAACCTTAGCCACCTCTCTCTCTCTAACATCTTCTTCTCCACGTTTTTCTACCTCTGCATGGTTGTTTAGATGTCCTTGATGAGTGCATTTCGGCTTCATTACAATTTGACAAGGTTTTGAACACAAAACCCTGCCATAAAAAGTTTCCCAATAAATGTTGGTGCTAATTAATATTGCACAAAATCTACACGATATTTCTAATGAGTTTTTTGTTGTTTAATTTTGATACAAATTATCCAGAGCATCTTTTCTAATTCTTTTCATTGAATTGGTGTTTTTTTTTTTTTTGGAGTCACAGGTGCAAGGAGATCTCGATCATCAGCTGCCAGACAAAACATTGGGATTAAGGATGAGAGCAATGAAATAATGTTCAGAGATGAAGATATTAAGCAACTGGAGAACATACATGAGCTCGTGCGAGGGCCAAATTACGTTGAAGTGATTTGTGGTTGCACAAGCAAGAAATATGGGGATCAAGTCGGCAAGCTTAAGATTTCTTCTACCGGCCAATTCCAAATAAATTGTGAATGCTCTGCACCTTCAACCTGCGAGGAAGGTACTACTTGCTCTAAATACAATTTAATTCTATAGTTTTCATGTAAAGAGTATGGATATTTTCTAATTTATGCTAACTTTATTTTTGATTTTTCTGGACAATATCTTCCTTTGAATATGTTACTAGTGCTTCTCAGCTTATTTCCTAAAGCCATGGATCCATCCATGAACCTACAAAGCCCTTCAAATTTTATTCTGTAACATGGCATTAGAACTTTCGTTGCAAGCTGTTCTATTTCGAATATCCCGAAATCTTGAATCTGTATTTCCTACACTTAAGGTTTTACGAGGCTGCATGTCATACGACTAACTTGATAAAGTTTACGTTGTTGGCGTATTCTTTGAGAACTAATTAAGCTATATATATGAATTAATGCAGTGGGGGTGTTAGAAGAAATTGGCAAATTGACACCAGAGGAATTCGAGAAGCATTCAAGGGAGAAAGAGGGGGGACCTAGAAAGTGGAAGAGCAATATTTGGGTAACAATCAAGGGCAAGAAAGTCCCACTTTGGAAATCAGGGCTGATGAGATATTACAAGCATGCCTCCAATGAAGGCAAATTGGGTTCAAGCAGTCGGCGTAGAGGGACTTTTCACAGGGATGAATTTCTACTTTGCTCCAAGTGTAAGAAAGAACGCAGGTTTCGCCTGCGAACGAAACAAGAGTGCAAAGCCTTCCATTATGCCTCCATGAATAACAAGTGGAAATGCTCTGATCATCCATACGACAAGTGAGTTCCTCTATCTTCCCATCTTCAATCTCATTTTTAAGTACACTCTTTAATTTATTTTAAGAGTGACAATCTGACGAAATAAACCAGAGGCGGAGTTTGAATAGCTTAGTTGGGGACTATTACATAAATATTTTGCAAATTCTTTCATGAAATGCTACAAATGAATCTAAATTCACAAGGAACCACACGTAGGTTGGAGGGCATGACCACCTCAGTCCTGCACGTGACTCCACCGTTGGACATAACATGTATGTTAAAATTTCTAGACATTATATTGTACTATAATTAAACGACTTGTTTTTTTCCATGTTTCAGAATAAAATGTGGTGATGAAGAAGAAAGAGCAAGTCGAAAAAGCTGTAGGGGTTGTCCTCGTACATCAACATGCAAGGGTTGCACATGTTGTGTGTGTCTTGGGTGCCTCAGATGCCGCTACTTGGACTGCAACTGCCGCACCTGTGTTGATTTCATGCAGAATGCCCAACCATGAGCCCCTCTCAATCTCATCTCATCCCTCCGTGTTCAAGATTTTGTGAGTTTTATTCGAGTAGTAATTTTGGATCTTCTAAAATTTCCTTGGATTTCAGAAAAAGATGGCCTTTTATGCCAATGGTATGGTTTTTTCTTTTTTCTGACACTCATATTCATGCTGTTGAGTTTGTTTTTCCTATATTGCGTTTAATACTTTATTTTTAGAGGTGAAGAAAATAATAGAAAACAGTAGAAGTTTGAAGGGTGAGAATAGCTTTCACATCTATTTTAGTTTTGATGAAGTTACTTACAGGCTCAAAGTCAGATGATTTACAACAAATGTTTTGCCATCATCCTTTTGAGGTTTGAGTGAACCTCTCAAGCTCATCAACACTTCGACACACACGCATATACAGGATGAAACATATCGTGAGGCCAACCGGCCTATACGTACAACAAACCTTCAACAGCAGTGTTTATGAACAGATATAGAGTATACATGGCATTCAAAAAGATTGGATTGACTTCAAATGTCTATGGATATTTTGCTCCCTATATTGATATGGGATGCGCGTTCAAGGTCTTCAACCTAATCAAAAATTTCACAGCCGCATGAATGGCTGACTCTGTAGTTAGCTGCTACCCCGGGTCAAGATCAGACTAAGACATGTTCTACAGAAAGACACAAAATGGGCTTTCCCAGTTCAACTCCAAGGGATCAATTTCTCTTGAAGCTAATGAATTACCTACATGGCTCGATGATATACAAAAGGTGTGCAACTTAAAATAAAGACAGCGTTTAGTCCTTTGGAACTGTAAGCAACCTACTGGCGTCCAGCAGACGTGCGATTCCTTCCCCTGCCTCTTCGAGCATTGGCAATGCTAACTGTCAAGGAGTTACCTACAGTTCCCAGGGCACTAGGTCCCATCAGCTTCAAGCCAAAATCTTTTACCAAGTATGATAACCTATTTTCATCTCCTCCCGCCACCAGTTCTAATCCACATGCTTGCTCACGAGATATGACTGTATAAAACTGCAAGGGTATGGTTAAGGAATGTTGGAAGTTGTTTGATAACTCTTGTTTATAACTGTCTTCACTACTCCCAACACTAACCCTCATAAGCCCTACTGATTTTGGGTCTTCTGTTGAAGGATCAAATACAAACGAAAAATTCCCAAATGCTAAATCGGGCCTCTTGAATAAATCTTCCAGCATATCATTGCTTGGTCCAACATTCTTTTGCATGACTTTCCTTGGATTGTTTTGGTTACGTCTTGTGGCGCGATATATGCACGAAGCCTCTCTCAGGCCACTCAGAAAGGCCCCATGCATAGTAGCAGGATGTTGCCTATTTGTAGCCTCGCCTGCAAAGAACAGCCGGTTTCCAACACTTTCTGCTAGTAAATCGTAGTCATTGCCAGAGGACTGTACTCTAACATGAGAGTATGAACCATACGAAAGAGGATCACCACCCCATCTTGTACATATGGTTTGTATCGGCTGAGGCACATCAATCCCCTTAGGAGTATATATACCTGACCAAATACAAATAAAACAAATCTATAAGACAAGAAGGTGGACTAGACCCAGATGGAAGCTTTCTAAAGTCAGCCCAAGCATCAAGACACAAAGACATGAGAAGAAGGCAACCACAAATAATACATACCTCTGAGGACGCTTAAAACTCGATGGAGCAATATGGACGGCTCAGTGCTTTCAAATGTTTGTGCAGCTTCTCCAGCCACTAGTGCAATGAGAACTGGACCTCCAGATACAGTATGGTATCCATAGAACAGAAAGAACTCTCCACGTTTATGGCCATGTTCATTTAGACATCCAAAAGTATCCAGGTCTTCTCCCCAAAAAACATGAGGAAAAACCATAGCTACTTTGTTCAGCAGCCCAAATCCCAACCTTTCAATTGCTGCAATCTTTTTTGGGGGCAACTCAGGTTCAAATCTGATAGCCCCCTTTTTCAGAACTCCAAGAGGAACAGTGCATAGGACCATATCCCCTCGAAACACTTGGTCCCCGGCAATAACTTCAACCCCTTCAGCTCCATAACTAATAGTATTGACAGTCTTTCCATAGAATATGGGAATCCCTTCACACAATGCTTTTATCAATCTCCAATTACCTCCAGCAAGAAAGCAGTGGTCCCCACCCATCTCATAAGGATCATCCTGATCCCAATAAGTAGCTGAGAGATTTGATAGACATCCAGCATTTGCATATTCCAAATTTGCCAGATGCCAGTCAAGAAGTTGCCTCTCCTCAGTACTTCTAGCAACACCATACAACTGCCTCAGTGTCTCCAAAACTGAACCCAAAGATATATCATTTCCAAACCCACCCATAGTTTGTCTGAGTTCCATGACTTTGTCAAGCAACTTATTAAAGATGACTTCAATCTTAGAATCAATGTCCTTATCAACAGGTGTCCCATCAGGCTTGTACAGAGGACACTTATCTCTGACCTTATGAAGCGGAATAGAAAGTTGCCTGGCCAGAACTCCAAGTGGATTAGCATGGATGCCAGTAATGACACTGCCACCAAGATCCACTGCAGAAAATTTGTCATCCTGCCCCATCTTTTGGGTGTAAACTCTTCCACCAGGTCGATTCCTACCTTCTAAAACAGCCACCTTGAAACCCAATGACAGAAGCTGCCTTGCAGCCGCTAGCCCAGCAAGTCCCGCTCCAACAATAATGACAGACCCTTCGATTGCCTCCTCTGGCACATTAGCCACAAATGATGGTGCAACCCCAAAATTAATGTATCCATTATACAAAAGAAAGTCGTAAGCTGAAGATATCAAATGCTCATAATCACCACTCACAGTTTCTTTAATCTGTCCTTTTGAAAGCCACACTTGCACATTACCCCTCCACCTTGCTAAAATATGATTCCTCACAACAATATAATCATTCTGCTGCTTCCCGCCCAACTCACTGACCACCCCAGCTTTCTTTTCCTCCTCAAGCAGCTCATCAATGGGGAATCCAAGGGACAATGCTATCATGGCCTCAATTTCGGTCTCTTTCTCCAAATCCTCCTTGGTTCTATTCCTTTTCTTCAAAGTACCACCCAAATGCTTCTCTATGAAATCATCCATCAAATTCTCATCATAATTTCGCAAACCCGCTTTCTTCCTTAGAGACCGCTTAGTAACAGAACCATCTGCACCTGGTGTCTCCATTACCCTATACCGTGTTCTCTCAGTGACAGTTTCTTAACCCAAATCAATAAGTCAGCTTAGAAACAAATCAAGAACACAATCCCGCATTTCTTGAACGCCCCAGTATATTTTAAGCAAAGTATCAAACGGGTATATCATCTCAAACAATTACGTCACAACCCATTAACAATATTTTTATGGATTCTCGTATCAATCATTGAGACTTTGATCATCTTTACACACAAATTGAACATCAAATTCACATATATCAATCACTTCCCACAAAACCCATGTTATTTCTAACTCCAATCTGTAATTTAGCCCAAGAAACTCACAGTTTCCATCACTCAGAGTGACAGCAGAAATTAAACTAAATCTAAATTTGTGGCCTAATTTCCGATTTTGCAGTCAGAATTTGAGTGGACAGCGTGTGTAAAATACACAATAAGTTTGCGCAAAAGGTTCTTGCAGGATTGGGAGTGAAGGGCGACTCACCTGGTTGGACGGAGTTGAATCGCAAGCGGGTAATTTTCAGTAGGAGTTAGGGTTTTTCTGGTGCGAGCAAGAAAGGTCGGGAGACGAGTTAACTGAATGGGATTGGAGGGAAATGAAGGGATGGTGGTGGGCCTTGGACGAGCAGTACCCGAAATGTCAAAAAAGTAAAGCTCCGCTAACGAAGTGTTTAGGGCCTGAAGTGGCCTACCAAGTAAGCTCCTAAAAGTAAATTTTTCTCTCTTTTTCCTAAGGAATTTTGTTGACACCAAATTTCTATCTCTCGAGTCTCGACATCTATTAAATTTTTCCCAAATAAAATGACAATGATCTTTGTTTTCAATAAAACGGTATTGTAAACTACTCTAACTTTGAGTGCAAAAATAACACAGTTCCTTAACCAACTGGTCTAACTCACGTCTACAAATCTATTTTTAAAATTACTACAATGAACTTAAAGAAGTTATTTTTATAGAAAAATATCAATTTCCTAGACAATCAAAGTATATTATTACATGCTTCCATTTTTTTTTCATACAAGCGAAAGTCATAGTCTAAACTATAAGAGGAGAGGAGTTCTTTACACACGCACTACTAATGTGTCATAGGGGTTCAAACCTGAGACCACTGATCTACAAGTCAAGACTCTTTTCCACTCGACTAGACCCTGTTGACTTATTACGTGCCACTTTAACACACTCACTTCACCTCTTTCTCGGACTTCCTAACCGTTTACTTAGCCAATCTAATTCTCTCATTCCTACGAATCCACCTACATTATGTGGAAAGATTACAATGGAGGAACAAATCATCATCTAGGATAACTGTAAGAAGGATATGTAGACCACGTGTATGGCTCTTCAAGAGAATATTACTTTACAACTCAATTCTCTTGAGGATTGTCTAATTAAATTGCTACTTTCCAAGAAAAACAAGGCACAGGCACAATCCAAGAATTAATGGGAAGGCCATGCGTGAGGCAATACCTTCTGTATGTACATGCAGATACTCATGGCTGATTTTAATACCAAAAGTCCAATCCTTCATCATCTGCAAGCAAACCAGGAGATGATCAAATTTGTACTTTGAAGGCATATCCCTCTTCTATATATGTGAACAAGTTGCATGTATCTTCAAAATGGGAAAACTAACCAGCAAAGCCCATGTTCATACTTCTAATTCCAGTTACAGAGATTTGATTCTACCCCAAGCTTTGAAAATAAGCATCTAAACTGTAAAGCAGAATTAAATACAGAATAAAAAACTTATAAATAGCAAGGGAAAACCAATTAAGTTGCTACATCTATCAGCTGCTTCATAAGGCCTTGTTTGGAATTCTTTTAACCTATTAAGAACTATAGATGTCTTAAGCAGTTCCACATTAATCATTGTCCTAGTATTTGTTGCAGGTGCAGCATTTCAAGCTAAAGCATACACTTCTCTCTATT